GTCCTCTCTCCTCCCCCCCCCTCCTCCTGTCTCCTCCTACCTCGGCCTCCAGGGGACTTTGCTCTGGAAGCCTCCCGGGTCGTGGTGGTTTAGAACATTCGCCGGCGACTGTTTTAAACGACGTTTGAGGCTTGTGGTGGTCTAGTGCAGTCGCCGGCGATTGTTTTAAACCGCGTTTGAGGCTCGCGGTGGTTCAAGGCAGTCGCCAGCCAGCGACGGTTTTAAACCACGTTTGAGCTTCAAACGTGGTTTAAGACAGTCGCTGGCGACTGTTTTAAACCACAGCGAGCCTCAAGCGTGGTGTAAAAACAATCGCGGGCGAGTGTTTCAAACCACCACGATTCTGAGAGAGATTCGTCGGTCTCGCCAGCCGGCTCGGCGGCGTCGAAGGAGGGAGGGCTGCTCGCCGCGAGGCCCACCGCGCTGTTTTTCTTTGATATGGCTCGGAGATCCGCCCAGCTGGGCTGCCGCCGGCGTTTCGGTCCGCCGCGGCTTGGGCCCAGGAGCCGCACTTGCGGCGTTCGCGATGGCATCGTGGCATCCGCTCAACGCGCGCCGCGCTCTGCGTTTCAGATGGCTGGGGCGGGAAGCCGATTCCCGTCCCAGATGCAGGCGCGAACAAAATCTGCGTGCCCGATGGCGAAGAGATCTCCGTCGTTCACGTGACGACGCAGAAGAGATGGCTCCTGCGCGCGTGCTCTCAAGGGCGCGGGGCAAAGTTTGCGGGGCAACTCGAGGGTTCCAACGCGCGGGCAGAGGTCAAGCGAGCGAGGGCGAAAGCAGGAGGGGCCGCAGTCGCGGATGACGATTGCGAATGCGAGGGCGAGGGCGACGACGACGACCCCATGTCATCTCTCCTGCGCAGCGACGCACGTGAGAGCGATTCGACATGGAAATGCGACCTTTCGCTTGGGACCCCAGACGCCCCGAAGTGCGCCGCGCGGGCCCGGAGGAAACAAAGTCCAGGCAATGGAAGTGGTCGAGGCCATATGTACAATCGATCTGCTGCCACCGTGCTTTCCGTCGCGTTGAGCCGATCGAAGTACCCCTTGGGCACGAGCGCGCGATCCTCGCGCGTGCCCAGTTTCAGGCGCAGGATGTTGTGTCTTGATGCTGCTGACCTGGCCTGGCTGCTCCAAACGATTGCGGGTGACTTGAGCGTCGGCGGTGTCCCTCATTGACGCAGGCCGCGACGAGGGCGGTTTGTCGCCGTCAGGTCGGGAATCCGCAGGCGCGGACACGGTGGTCCTGACGGACAATCCGCTGCAGGTTTCAGCGGAAACGGCTCAGGGAAGCGGCGCCAGGTGCAGCATTGCGCAGAACTTCAAGGGCGCCTGGGTCCACTGGACAAAGGGTAGCGCCATCGAGATGGGGGGTGATGGGGTCGCCATCGCAGATGGCGCGCGGGGCGCGACGGCCCGACAGAGGGCGGCGCCGTCGAGACGGAGGTGAAGAGGCTGCCAAGGGAGAAATGGGACGAGGTCGCGCGCGCGACGGGGCGCGCGCGCGTGGGCCAACGCTGCGCCCGCTCAGAAGAAACAGGCGGCAATGGAATGCCTGGAACCCCGCGTGCCCGACCTGCTCCAAACCGAAGCGGGGCGACCTCGGTAATTGAGCAAGTCGGCTGCCATGGCCAGACATGCAACGCCGCAGTTGCGGGCGCGCGGTCTTCGCAAGGGCGAGCGCGCACCCCAGTTGCGGCCGCGCAAGGGGCCGCCCTTGCGATTCCTGTTTTACGGCGCCTGATCGGGGAGATCATCGAATGAGCGGGGCGCTCAGCAACTGATTGGGGATATTAGCGCGCTAAAAAATATCATTTGCTTCTTTCCTGCTGCGTGCATCATCCTTCCTTCCCCCAGACACTCTCGCGCTTGTCTTCTCCTCCTGCGCGTCCAATCCCGCGGCCGTTCTCGAGGCTCGAAGAGCTCCTGTTCCGCGCGGGCAGTGGGCGCGCTTGTCGGAGAGCAATTCTATGGCCAGGAGAGAGCGGCGTTCGCTGTGAAGTCCAATGGCAGCTGCGCGACAGCGGCGCAAAGCCGAGGAATAACCATTATGGCGCCACGGGCGTGGCGAACATCTCGAACCGAAGTGATGGCGAGCGCTGTCGCTAGGGAGAGAAGATGCACGCGTGCGCGAGCGATGTCTCCGGCGCAAAATGGCCGCCGTCGCAGTGCGGCCTCGCAGAAACGCCACTGCATCACCTGCGCCCGTCTGACTGGCGCCCTGGGGCCTCGTCCGGAGCCGAGGCGGCGGCGACGGCGGTGGGGGCCGAAGTGACAGTTCCTGCAGCAGACGCTGCACCACCGCAAGCTGCTGATCCAGAAGCAGAGGGCGCAGTTGCGGCAGAGGCTGCCGTTGCAGCGCCGCAGAGCGCGGACGCGCCAGCAACCGCAGTTGCGGCTCCTCCAGCGCCGCAAGAAATTGATACTGCTGGCCCAGAGGAGGCAGCCGCAGTTGCGGCGCTTCCAGCGCCGCCGCAGGCGGGCGCAGAGGAGGCCCCTGCAGGAGAAGAAGGGAGGAAGCCATTGGAGACATATTTGCCCAAGAGCTTTGCCCGAGAGGACAAGTTGCGCCTTTTTCTGACGCCATCTGCAGAATCTACAACCGCAGTCGCGGAGTTCAGTAGAAAGAAGGCGCGGATCAAAGAGGGGCGCCCAGAATCCAAAGGATGGGGGCCCCGCCCATTCAAAACCAGACAGAAACAGCTGGACGTCGATATCTGGAAGAGTTCCCAAGGAAAGGCCCGCGACGGAGCGCGCTTCCCACTGCTGCTGTTTACGCGCAACCAGCCCCGCAGGTCGCCAGCGAAACAGGCGGAGAGGCTGATGGGGCGGCGCAACAGGCGCGATAAAGCGGAGGGCGGCCATCCGAAGGGGGGCCACCCAAGAGGGGGGGGCAGCTCAAGGGCGACCGCGGCAAGGGCAAGGGCAACAAGGGCAAGGGCGACCAGGGCAAGGGCAAGGGAGAAGGCAAGGGCGACCGCCAGCGACCACCTGATGCCGCAGTAGCGGCTCGCGGCCCTGATGCCGCAGTAGCGGCTCACGCGGGGCGCCGCGGCAGCTGGCCAAGTAGCAGTTCGCAGGATTGGTGGTCAGAGAGTTGGACATGGCGCTGGGATTCCCGGGATTCCTGGGATGCGGGGTGGGGCCCCAGGTGGTGGCGAGATCCGGACGCCGCATTCGCGGCTGATGCGCCGCCCGCAGCTGACGCTGCGAAGCCGCAGTCGCGGCCTGGTGAAGGCGAGCAGGCAGCCGTGGACACTTGGGCTCCGTCGAGTCCGTCCGCGACGGCGTCAACCGTGGAGTGCCGTGGACGGGTTTCGTCAACCGTGGAGTACCATCATCATCACCATGGCGCCCTCAACTACTAGATGCCCCCTCTGTGAAGCCGCAGCTGCGGAATCGCAGAAAACCGAAGCGCCATCAGCGCTATCGTATATCAACATTCGCGTGGTTTAAAACAGTCGCCAGCGACTGTTTCTGTTATGTTGCTAAGTTGCGTTGTTAATGCTTTGGGGTTATGAACTCCGTGGCGAGCGCTTTCTGGCCGTGCCGCTCGGGAACAGATATTCCACAATATGGTTGTACTATATGATCGGTTCGGATTCACACCTCCGACAGCATAGATGGTCGCATGTTTTTCTGCGCCCCATGCAGCAGGGAAGCCGCCAGGAGCTCTGGACCTGGGCAGATGCCCAGGCTTCCAACGTCTTGGACACAAGCAAAGCGGAGTGTTTTGCCGTCTTCGGCATCCAGAGGCCGCTTTCGGGCCCCATGACGTCAGACAAGTATCCAGGACGAGCTACCAGTCCCGGGGATGTGGTCCCGAAGTCTGGGGACCCATATACAGCAAACGCAGACATCGGAGGCCCGGGGGCAGGGTGCCACGCCGAGCCGAGCCCGACTGACTGACTGACTGACTGACTGACTGACTGACTGACTGACTGACTGACTGAATGACCGACAGAATGACTGACTGGCTGACTCACTGACTGGCTGACTGACTGACTGACTGCGACAGCAGCGACGGGAGCAACGGAAACGACGGCGACGATGGCCAGATGCTTCCAGAGTTTCCCAATGGTCTCCAGAACTTCCCATGTGTTCCCGCGGGCCCCCGGCAGGCCCTTGGAGGCTTTCCGATGCTTCTGGAGGCCCAACACGGGTCCAAACCCTGGGCCCTCGATCCTCGACCCTTGACTTTCGATCCTCGACCATTTCGGCGGCAACGACGGCGACCGCGGCGACGACGACGACGACGGCGACGGCGACGACGGCGGTGGCGGCGACAGCGGCGGCGACGGCGGCGGCGGCGGCGGCGGCGACAACAGCACTGTCAACATTGCCCGCGGCGGCGACGTCACCTGCGAAGGTGGCGGCGACAACGATCGAGGGCGTCGGCGGCGACGAGGCGGCGGCGGCGAAGGTCGACGAGCGGCCCGCGGCGACCCGCGGCGTTGGGGGCCCCCCAGAGGCCGTGCCCTTGGCCGCCGCGCTGGCCGCCGCGCTCCACACCGTGCGCCTGGCGCGCGCCGCGCACGCGCGGCTCGGGCCCGCCGTGCGGCTGCCCGAGCCCCAGGACGGCCTGAGGCGCCGCTTGGTCGCCGCCGCCGTCGTCGCCGCTGCCGCCGCCGCCGTCGTTGGCGCCGCCGCTGCCGCAGTCGTCGGCGCCGCCGCCACCGTCGTGGTCGCCGTCGTCGCCGTCGTCGTCGTCGTCGTCGTCGTCGTCGTCGTCGTCGTCGTCGTCGTCGTCGTGGTCGTCGTCGTCGCCAACACCGCGGTTGCCGCTGCCGCCGCGGTGGCCACCGCCGCCGGCGGCGGCGCGGTGCGAGCGCCCGCGCGTCGAGGCGGCCTGAGGCGCCGCACGCCGCAGCAGCTGGGAGGGTCTGCGCCCGTTGCGGGAAGCCGTGGGGGCTTCGGGGGCTGCCGCGGCGGGGTCTGCCCGCATAATGAGTGTTGGTGGTGGTGGTGTTGTCGCTAATGAATTCACTTTCGTATAGAACAAGTATGGTTGTTTCGCCCACTTACCATATGTGTTTCAGTTCCAGTGTTCCTCCCGGGGCTTGCACACTTTCGCTAAAAATGAAAGTCTTGCGCCTCAGGTTGGCTTGCTGGCTTGCGGCGCCCCAAGCTATCACAACAACTTCTACGGCCTGACACATCTTCACACTGTATTGAAATCGCACTCTCGCGCGCGACTTCTTCACAATGTATGCATGACTCTCGAGTGGTACTTCCTCCGATTTATTGAATCGTCGCGCCCCCAACGTCCAGGAATCACGCTCTCGTTGTAGATTTGCTCAAGATTTACTTGGGAATCGCGCTGTCGCTCAATATTTCCTCGCGGCTCATGCGGGACCGACGCTTCAGCGACCCGCCCGCTCGACCTGGCCGCCTGGTCCCGCCTTCCGATCCGTCTGATAGGGTCTACCCGCGGTGGGGTCTGCCCGCCCGACCCGCCCGTCTGGTTCTGCCAGTCGTTTTCTGCACATGACCCCCCTCCTGCTAGTCTCTTTCGTGCTCCATCCTTTCCCCTCCCCCCTGTCCTTTCCTTCCATCCTTCTACTCTTCCCCTGTCATAGGGGCTGCGCCAAATACACGTGGCAGGTAAGGAACATGCACCCCCAAGGGGATATGATCGAAGACGAAGCGGGCGGATGTCGAGAACTTGGGATATACTATTTGACTGCCACGCGAGTATGCGAAAGCGAACAATATTGGAATTGTTGTTGTGGTTGCTTTGTCTACGTGTTCGCCTCCAACTGCCTGTTTGTGGCCCCAGGGCTGCCAAAGAGCAATTCTGGACGACACAGCGGTCCACAGGGTGGGGCCCACGTCACGGGGCGATCGACGTAACGCCAGATGATCGGGGCCGCCGCTGCAGCAGCCGCCGCCGCCGCCGCCGCCGTCGTCGTCGTCGTCGTCGTCGTCGTCGTCGTCGTCGTCGTCGTCGTCGTCGTCGTCGTCGTCGTCGTCGTCGTCGTCGTCTTCGTCGTCGTTGACGTCGCATTCGCCGCAGACGCCGTCGTTGTCGCCGCCGCCGCCACCGCCGCCGCCGCCGCCGCCGGCGTCGTCGTCGTCTCTTCATCCGCCGCCGTTGTCGTCGGCGCCGCCGCCGTCGTCGTCGTCGTCGGCGTAGTCGTCGTCGTCGTCGTCGTTCACGTCGCTTTCGCCGCAGTCGCCGCCGCCGCCGCCGCCGCCGCCGCCGCCGCCGCCGCCGCCGCCGTCGTCGTCGTCGTCGTCGTCGTCGTCGTCGTCGTCGTCGTCGTCGTCGTCGTCGTCGTCGTCGTCGTCGTCGTCGTCACTGTCGCCGCAGTCGCATCGGTGTCGGCATCGGTCGGCGTCCTCGCCGCCGCCGATGCTGGTCAGCGTCTGGACGTCTCCCAGCGTGTTGAAAGGCTTTGGGCGGTGTGCGACAGCTTTCGCATGTTCTCGCGGGCTTCTGGCGGCCTTCCAAGGGCGGGGCTGGCACGCCGCCGCCGCCGCCGCCGCAGGTCGTCGCGGCGCAGGCGCCCGCGCCAGGAGGCCTCTTCGGTGGTATGTTTGTTGTGGGCTCGTGGAGGGCCCTCGGGCCCCAAGCGGTGTTTGGAGGCACGAGGTTCCGCCCCCAAGCCAGACTTCAGTCGGGCACGTCCCTCTGCGGGAGGAGTATTAAAGTATAGTTGCCTGGTCACGAGTTCTCGTGCTCTTCTGACTGCTTGTGGTTCGTGTTTGGCTATCTTTGATTTGCCTCCCAGGATCCGTCTGTAGGATGACATGCCTGACCTAGAACCACACCCAGAGGCATCCAGGGTCCTGAGGCGGGGCTCTGGCGAACAGGACATCGCGAGCCAGGACTTTGAACACTTCAGCTGGAGAAGACGGAGATTGGATCATGTTTCGACCCACAGCTGCGGTTTTCCCGTGTGCGCCAATCTCGTGGTCTGTCAGAGCCCCGCTCGGTGGGGCCATGATTGAACACGACCGGCGATCTTGATCCGCGCCGGGGCCTGGGCCTTGGGACACTCCTGCATCGACCGGGTCAGAAGAGAGTCGCGCCTAAGCTGGGGCCGAAAGTTCTGGCCCTGATCTCCTCCCCAGACCCCAGACGTCGTGATTTTTTTCACAGCGTCGACCCCCAGCGGTCTGGACCCCTTCCCCGCGACAGGTTTCTCATCCTGATTATGTTGACGGTCTCGAGGTCCGGCAGGGGCCCCCAGAGGCCAAACATGGCGGAAAACCTCCCTGATTTTTGTTCGAGGCGCCGGTGACTTTTTTCGAAGCCCCCGTAGGGGGTCTGGGTCGAGGCGCCGTGACCCCCTCTCGCAACCGCTCGGGAGGGGGCGGCCACCGCCCTCCCGGCCCGCCCCGCGCCTCGCCGGAGGGCCGCCGTGGAGGGGACGCTGCGACTGGTCGAGCGCCGGGAGGCGGAGAATGCGAAGCGGCGCCCGAGGAGAGGTCCACTGCGCGCGCGCGCTGGGAGGCGGAGGAGGAGGAGGAGGAGGAGGAGGAGGAGGAGGAGGAGAAGGAGGAGGAGCGGAACGAGAGGCCTCCGCGCGGTTGTCGGCCGTGCCGGCCTGCGGGCGATGGCGTCTCGTTGTGGCCAGGCGTGGTCCGGCCATGCTGGCCGACGTCGTTTCGCGCCTCGGTGCTGCGCCTCGGGCCCTTCCCGTGGTTCATCTGCGCTGCCTCACCTCCCACCAAACCACCCCAATCCAACCCGGAGGCCCCGATTTGCTTTTCATTTCCAGTGGGGGGCCTCAAGAGGCCTCCTCTGCCCCCAGGGGATGCAGAGCAGCAGCAACAGCCCCAGGACGACGAGGTGATCGACGAGCCCGACATGGCGGAGGCAGAGCCGCAAGAAAGTCAGGAGTCCTCCCCGTCCTCCAGCGAGAGCCCAACAGGCAGGCGACCGTTGGACGAGCCTCAGCAGCCAAGGCCGCAGAAGGACATGGTGGCCAGGCAACGCTGACGTGGAACAACACCTCCGCAGTCCGCCCAGCCAGGTGCCGGACGGAGGCGCGGCCACCCCCGATGCAGCGGAGGAGTCGCCTGGCCCGCTGCACCCCCCAGCTGAGGAGGAAGGCAGCCCCCCCCCCCCTCCGAGGGCAGCCCTGCAGAGCCAGCCCCCGCAGGCGTGGCTGAGCAGGCAAGCCGCCCCCCAGCGCGCCTCCCAAGGGGAGCGACGGTCGCTGCGGAAGGAGCGGGGGGCGGGGCGGCAGTGGCGGCAGGTGAGGGCGACGAAGCCAGCGGCCAGCTGACAGCGAGCGGCAGCAGTGGAGCCGCCGAGGCTGGCGCGGCGCAGCCCAGCCCAGGCAGGAGCCCAGAGGAGCCGGGAGAGGCGAGGGCCCGCGAGCGGCGCGGCCCGTCGATCAGGCTGCTGCTGGGGCCGAGGCCGTGACGCGGGCGTGGGCGAACGAGCTTGTGCCAGACCCCAGCAGTAGCTGTGCGCCGTCAGCCTGCAGGCCAGCTGGCCCTGGCGCCGAGGCGCTGGGCTCGACGTGGGCGCCTGAGGGCCCCGCTGCCGCGTCGGTGCGGCGAGCGACGGGCGCTGACGGTTCGCTCCGGAAATCATTTTGTAAACTCCTCATCCTCCTCCTCCTCCTCCTCCTCCTCCTCCTCCTCCTCCTCCTCCTCCTCCTCCTCTGCGCGCCGCCAAGTCCTCCCCCCGCCTCGCTCTCTCTGCCAGGGGGCGTGGGGGGGGGGGGGATGTGCCGGGGAACATTGACACAATCACGTGTGGAACCTGTACCCCCCCAACCCGAAGTTCGGGTCTTCGGGTTGGGTTGGGGTGGTCTGGTAGGTAGTCACTGCCGGGGGTCTCCGCCGTTATGCTGCCTGCCGCCGCCGGGGCTGCGTTTCCGCGGCGGCCTGTCGGGCTGCATGCCCGCTGCGGCATCCCGCTGCTTCTGCTGACCCGCGGCGTCCGCTGCGCGTCGAAGGGTTTTAGTCGGTGGGGAACCGGGGACGTCGTGGGGAATCCACAACCAGAGCCCGCCGACCCAATCTTAGCACGTGACTTCTCAAGCGCTGGATCGATCCGCCGCGAGGGTCTCGTGGCTAGAAGCTAAGCCCTCCCCAACAAGCTCGCCGTGATTGGTTTGGCGACGCCCGAGAAAAATAGAGAGACCTAGACCTCTCCTGGGTTGATGTTTCAAGCCTCGGGCCCCATATGTCTCTCTTCCACCAGTGTTTTTGTTAATTGGTCTGCGCCACGAAGTCTGCCTCCAGAGGCCTCATTTGCGGAATACTCAGTAACACTACGAGCAACAATCCGTACGAGGTTGAAGACATCAGCTCAGAAGCGGGTCAACGGACCCTCCGAGGGTACAACTCCTGTGTTCCTCATCGCTAGCAATACTTGGCATCATGACCACGTGGAACGAAGCATTCGTTCCATGGCTTTATATGGCCAGCCTCTGCAGGAGTGTACGCAGAGAGATGTGCCAGTCGCATCCCTGTTTACGTGACATGAGGCTACGAATGAGCGGTTCGCAATCGTGGACATGTTCTTTCGCAAGCCTTCGGACAAGTTGATCACCTACGCAACAGTCTGGGGAGCCTCAACAATACGACTACATGCTGGCGGACAAGTGCTTGCTATTTGTGTGCCAAAATGCCGAATTCAACACCATCGTTGGTGCCAATCCCGACCACATATCAGTATCCCCACACATGTGTCTTCACATACTAAAGCCGAGCACAAAAACAACAGTCTAACATCATCCAAGGCCGACCAGACTCCACCTGCCGACAAGGAGGGCTCGCGGACCCAGACGAGTACCGAAGTCAATTATAATCCAAACTGCAGGGCAAGCGTTTAGCTGCCGACCCAGACGACCTCAACGAAACCATTGAGCAGAGCCTGAAATGCCATGCTGCGCAGCACGACCCACGAGGACGCAACCAGCCACGACGACGCTTGATACCAGCAGAGGCGACGATCCAGGCAGCAACCATGGCGACATCATGTCCCACCTCGTGGACCAGCGCAACGGCATTCCAAGATCAGACACGGTCAGACGGCACAATGCAAGAACAATGCAAGAACACATCCAGCAGCAGAAGCGCAGCAGCCGAAGATGGCAGACAAGCTCGACCTTGGAACAGCACAGAGCCGCAACCGCTGTAGCTCCATGAAGCCGAGACGCACGCGGCCACGGATCACAGAGATGTGCGGAAGTGGTTGCAGCGAGCACGCTCTCGCAATCCAAGGCTTGAAACTTACCCGACACCGTAGGAGGCAAGGCCGATATGTTCACAAGCCCGTGTCCAGAACTGCATCATGCAGTGTTGCAGCTCTGCAGTGTGGTCATAACGCCAAACACTCCGACTCATCCAAGCTGGTAACTACAGTGAGTCCCACATTTGGTGATCTAACCTTCCCAAAAAACTACCGTCCAATATGTACGATACCCGTGCCATGCTGTTCAGTCGTCTGTTATCCATTGCTCGACCAAGACCAACCCGACACACAAGCAGGCCTCTGACCTTGGCGCCGTACACGCGATTACCTCTTCGCCTTAAACATATTGTCGGAACGGGCTTCTGAATGGAATCTGTTTCTCTACGTCGCAGTGGTAGACTTCACAACAAAAACAGTCGTTGCTGGAACACGGCAGCCTGTGGGCAGCATTGCGGCACCAGGGCGTGTCATCCGATGGCGTCCACTTGCTTCAATATCTCTACCATAAGCAAACGGCCGCAGTTTTCACCGAGTCCACGAGCAAAACCCTTCAAGTTGGGCTCAACGCAAGGGGACCCCTTGAGTTGCTCACTCTTCAAAGCCCTGCTGCACGTTCTCACGTTCTGGCACCACCCAGTCCGGAACGGCAGCGATGACGAAAAGGAGTCCAGTTGGCGCACACTGGCCAATCTGTTCTCACCAACTTCTGCTTCGCCGACGACAACCTGCTAGTCAGCCAGATGTTGCCAAGCCTGAAGACCCTACTTGCAGACCTGGTCACAGCAGCCAGAGCGCATGGCCTGCAAATACACCGAAGCAAAATTATGACTCACCAGCTCCGGGCGCCCTGGCAACGTTGCAAGCATGGACACGTATAGCCCTGCACGAGCAACCTGACATACCTCGGCCAGGCGATTGCATTCTTCCAAGGCGTCGCGGCGACCGAGATCCAATATCTTATAGAGGCTGCGCGGGCATGCTTCGCAACACAGAGACAATAGTCAACGAGCACGCGCTACCCACTGAACACACAGACTGCGGCTCTAGCGTGGCACCGCCATGCCCACGATGACGTACGGCACGAAAGCGTGGACTTTGAGAGAGCCACCCAGACATCAGCTACGCCGCGCGCAGCGACGGAAAGTCAGGGCGATCATCGGAACTCCGAGAAGGCGCACAAAACCACCCTACGAACGCGCACCATCCCAACGGCGGACAACCGCAGCAACCGCGATGCAGACAGCGACCACCCCGACGACTCCAGAGACCACGAGGCATCCATCGACCCTCCTTCCCCATCGTAGCAGACCGGCGCACAAGGAGACATCGCTGACGCACACCAGACCCACGAGCAGACGACGGACGATAACGGGCTTGGTTCGCCTTCATCCGCCGGAGCACGCGCAGATCCGAGGAGCTCATGAGCAAGCGCAGCGTTCCTGACGTGCACAGGTACATCTAAAAAAGTTTTGGCGCTGGATCGCACGCGTTGCAAGCCATCCGCAGAACCGATAGACACACCGAGCGTTGCACTGGAACCCCGGTCTCGGCGCGAAACAGTATGGTCACCGGCAGCATGAAGGCTGAAGGAGGCAGTGGGACGACGACATATGACAGCTTGGTTGCAGGACTTGCGTAACAAGCGCCAGAGGCGAAGCCACGGGCAACGATACCAAGGACGCCGTCCATCCTCGACGATACTTCGATTCACTGCAGTAGCAATGAGAGATGGTTGACGGCCGCGATGGACACGACGTGTTGGGGTTCGTTTGAGAGCACAATCTTTCCGCACAACTGCTGACTTCGCAATCTTTACAACACCCGCTGAATCAGTAACCGTTCTTACTCTCCAGGGACAACGTCACCGACCACCAACAACGACAGCACCACAACAGCAGCACCAACATTAAACACAAGCGCCAGCGACCATCAACGCTAGCAGCCAGGACGCCGATCGCACCAACTAGATTCTAGCCTGGTTCGTGAACACGTTCTGTTACACCCTCCGTTTCTTCTTCCCACGCATTTGATTCCTGCCTTCTTTGCGCATTGGTTCCTGAACTAGTTCTTCTACGACTGCTCTTTTGTACACGACCGCTTCGCTTTCTTCCTTTTGGCTTCCTCTCTCCCACTCTCTTTCTCTCGTCCCCTCTGCATGCCAGCGGATTCGTCGGCACATGGCCAGCCCCTCCAGGAGCGCAGGTGCAACGCCAAACTGCAGCACGCTGTCCCTCCTTCTCTTCGCCATTGCCGTCGCAGCCATCTTCGGAGGAGGAGGCGGGGGGGGGGGGAGGAGGCGGAGGAGGAGGAGGAGGAGGAGGAGGAGGAGGGAGGGAGGGAGGAGGGAGGAGGAGGAGGAGGAGGAGGAGAGGAGGAGGAGGAGGAGGAGGGGAGGAGAAGAGGAGGAGGAGGAGGAGGAGGAGCAGGAGGAGGAGGAGGAGGAGGAGGAGGAGGAGGAGGAGGAGGAGGAGGAGCGAGGAGGAGCAGCGAGGAGGAGGAGGAGCGAGGAGGAGCACACTTGGCCCACGACTCCAGCACGGGCGCAACGTGCAACCCGCGCAAACCCACCCGCTGCGCTCTCATAGCCGCCCTGTCTGCACGGCTCCGTCGGCGCCTCGCCGCGTCTCGCCTCGCCGGCTTCCCGAGCCGCCTCCCGGCCGTGGCGAGGGGGCTCTCCAGGAGCACTGCCGGCGCAGTGGCCGACACGACGGCCGCCGACAGCGCTGTTGGGCGGCGCCGCTGGGGTCCGAAAACAAGGAGGGCAGTTTGGTCCGTAATCTGATGGGCCTGTTTTCCACCACCACCACCATGAGTTGGAGGGGGGAAGGGGGTGGAGGGTGAGGAGGAGGAGGAAGAAGAAGAGGGGCAGGAGGACCCCCCCCCTCCAACTCATGGTGGTGGTGGTGGTGGAAAACAGGCCCATCATAAGCGTCTCCCGTCATCAAACCTGCATCAAAATGCACACGACACCTTCTTTTAATTAGGGTCTCCATTGGCGCAGGCCACGATGAAAATATGCATGACCTCAGACTCGCCAAGTGACCCTCCTCGAGCACATTCCGCGGAGCGGCGCCTCTGACGTCGGCGTCGAGGACGTGCTCGCTGCAGGGGCGGGCGGCAGGGGCGTGCGGAGCGCCTCTCCCTCCCCTCGGACGTCGCGGATCTCACACGGCGCGGGCCTCCGTGGACCTCGACCCGTTGCACTCCGGGGAGGGCTGGTTGTGCTTCCCGTGGTGCTGCTGCTTCACGGTCCCGGCGCCGGCCCCCGGAGGCCAAGCATAGCGGCACATTGGCTGCCTCGACCTTTTTAAAACAAGCATTTTCGACGCCAGGTGTCTGGGGCGGCAGGGCTGAACCTGAACCGACGACGCCGCCCGGGAGCGGCCGTCGTGAGTTCTGAGTTGCTTTCAACCGTCGCCAGGACTCGAGCCTCGAGCTATGCTGTTCAAGTTCCGACCTGCTTCAGCCATGACCACCAGAAAGGATCTCGAGCACCGAGAAAAGGACGTGCCGAAACTCGAGGGTTTTTGGGCGTCGGGCCCTGGGGGGCGCTACGCGCTCGACACCGTTCCGATACTTGTCTGGGTGCTCGAAATTATTGGAGAGGCCGGACGGCCGGTGCCGCCGACCCTGATCGAAAGGGCTAGGAGTGGGGGGAGGAAGCGGAGGATGATGATGATGATGATGATGATGATGATGATGATGATGATGATGATGATGATGATGATGATGATGATGATGATGATGATGATGATGATGAGGAGGAGGAGGAGGAGGAGGAGGAGGAGGAGGAGGAGGAGGAGGAGGAAGGGGAGGAGGAGGAGGAGGAGGAGGAGGAGGAGGAGGAGGAGGATTTTGTTTTGGGATGTGGTCTTTAAGTACGATGGGGGCAACGTGAGCCTCAAGTCGGGCACGTCCTTCAGGGGGGAACTTCCAAACGTAGTCCAACAAGCATAGCCTGGGGACGATGTTTTTTCACTATCCTTGGCTACTTTTGAGCATCTGTGGGGTATAACCCCAGTGTTCTAGCAAGACGGGAACCCATTGGCAAGCGTTCGTGCGCATTGGTTCTTCAGGCTGTCGCCTCACGTTGCCGCCAGCTTCGGGCCCGGGGGGGCAAATCAATTAATTATTTTATTTTATTTTATTGTTTTATGTGCTAGCGATATCGCCGGAGGGCGCCGCCCAAAATAATTGTTTATTTTAATGTCTGTGCTAACGATATCGCCGGGGGGGTTACTGTTTGCATTCCGGGGTTATGCTTTATTTGTCGTCCAAACTCCGCCTGTAGAAGGACATGCCTGACTTGACTCGAGCCGCAGGCGGGCTTCCGCCCGCACGCCTCGAGCGCTTCCGGCGAGGCGCAGCTGCCGGAGGGCAGCCCGAGGCGAACAAAACGCTCCTCCAGGCGTCGCCTGGCTCTGAGGGGGTTGTGCAGCGCGGCCCCGCCAGAGGATACCGCTGGGCGCGGCCGGCTCTCTCTGGGACTACCGCGTCTTCCTGACCAGGGTGGCCCGCAGCGCGAGGATGCTGAGGCGCGCCCCGCGGATGCTGGAGCTGCGGAGTCAGATGCTGGAGGCCGAGGGGGAAGACGATCCAGGGTCGAACTTCGAGGATCGAGGTTGTCTACTCTGTCCTCACTTTTTTTGAACCTCTGGGAGGCCTCTGGTGGCCACGACTGGATCCGCCTGGGATTTCTACCCACACCCCAGGATGGGTCCGAGGGGGGAGGAGGGTTCGGAGGATTTCGTCGGCTCGTGGAGGTGTTTAGTTTATTGGAGGTTTTCGTTGGTCTTGAGAGGTTTTCTCGCCTCGAGATGGTTTGCAGCTGCGCGCCCTTATGGGACCCTCTTGGAGCCCTCTAGGGCGATATTGGAGCCATCTTGAGGCCTTAGAAGCCAAGCAGAAGCGAAACAGCGAGAAGGCAACATGCATGTTCGTTCCCATTGTTCTGGAAGCAGTTTGGCCTTTCAGGGGCCTGCTTGGGAGGCTCCGTGGCCATTAGGAGCCGTCCTTTCTTGGGGACTCGTGGAGGCATGCTCGAAGCCATCTTGGGCTATCTTGAGCCATCTTGGGGGCCATCTTGGGATCCAGAGCCATCTTGGTCCCTCTTAGACGCTCCAACTTGCTTCCCCGCCTTCAGGCCCAGGGGAGGGGGCATGGGGGTGTCAAGACACCTCTCCCCGACGCAAACTGTTTAGTTCACTCCCACCCGCCCTCCCAACACATAAGTCGTACTGGAGGGTCAGCATATTCAGCGGTCGCATTTGGACGGAAAGTACTCGGAACCAACACGGACCCCAGGTGCGCGACTCTGGGGCGAGGTGCGCCACGCGTGCCAGGCGCGCCGCGCGCACCAGGCCCGCCAGGCGCCCCTGGGCCCAAGCGTGCCAGACGCGCCTGGTGCGCCAGATGCGCCACGTGCTCCATGTGGGCCAAGTATGCCGCATGCTCCAGCAGCGCCAGGTGCGCCGCGTTCGAGACACGCGCAGAGTATGGCAGGTGCGCCCGCGCACATTGGGAAACATGTCGTCCCCTCCCGCCCCCACCATCCTCATCGAAAACCAGAGCGCAATCGCGGCGGAGTGGCCATCATGATGTCTGGTGGTCCTGCGCACAGCAGGCATCATACTAGCACCCCCGCCGTCCCTGTCAAAACCCCGTGCAAAGTGATCGCGGGGTGCCCGCGCATGATTCAGATTTAGCCGCGAGGTGCAGTTCGTATCGCTTCTTAACAGTGATGGTGATCCTGCGCACAGCAAGCTGTATGCTGGCACCCCCGCCGTCTTTGTCAAAACACCACGAAAGGTGCTCGCGCCCCCCCGAACATGACCAACATGTTGCCGCACAGTGCATTCTTTTTGTTACAAGGATGGCGGGGGTTGGCCTGCATTGGCCCTGGTCTGTGGCCAGTCGGGCAGGGGAGGGGGTGCACGGCAGCAAGGAGCCGTGATCCACTCATCGGGGCGACGAGAACCTCCAGGACGCCCAGAGACGAACGAGTCGTCGTCGTCGTCGTCCTCGTCCTCGTCGTTGTCGTCGTCGTCGTTCGTAAGCTTCTCGGCCCGCGTTCTTGTGGCCACGCGTCGACCGGACCCGCCCCCGCCCGCACGAGGTCGGCAGGCTGTCTCGGGCGGGCGACGAGGCCGGGGAGCTGGCAGGCGAGCGCGCGCAGCCCCCCGGGGCCAGCCTCCCCGGGGCAGGGCGCGCCGCGGGCGCGTGGCCTCCTCGGCGCCTCCGCGTCGTGGCGCAGATCGCCACGGTGGGCTCGTCTCGGCAGGGCTCGGCCATCGTGGGCCGCTTTCTGGGCCACGGGGCCGTCAAGAGGATCTGCTCGGGAGGAGGCCGCCGGGCCCCGGAGGGGCAGGCCGCCGAGGTGGCCTGGGAGGCCCCGCGCCGCGGAGGCCAAGGGCGTCGGAGGCCTGGGTTCGGCGTCGCGCATCGGAGAGGCAGGCCTCCCCGAGCCCCAGGGCAGTCCCTGGGATGAAGAGCTGGCCTTGGGGCACTTGTCGAGACTGCTGCGTCCTGAAGTGGAGGGGGTCCTACGGCTGTTCCGCCTTCGTGGAGCTCGTTGTCTTCCCCGGCCCCAGGGCAATCAAAAGCAGTTCGGGATGAAAAGTTTGTCATGGAGAAAGGCCCTGGGGTCCAGAACTCGCTTCTCTCCAGGACCCGCTTGCCCCACGCCAATTTGGATTCCAAGTCGGGAATCGAGGTTCGAGAGTCGGGGTTTTCGGGCGCTTCTGGGCCTTCTCCAGTCTCCTGCGACGCCCTTGACGCCACGGCTGGATCCGCTCCGAAATCCTGGACAGAACGCACGCACCACGCGAGAGATTCAGGATGCAGTTTTTTGAGGGGGGCCAGTCTTCCTCGCGTCGTGAAAGAAACATGTCTCAGGGGGCCGTTACCAGTGCCAGCGACCGCCATGTTTCACGATGCGGAGCGGAAAGGCGGTCCAGAGGAAGGGATCGGGACCTTTCATGGGTCTGGGGGTCTGAGGAGGAGAAGGGGAGGATGGGTCAAGAGAGGGAGAGAGGGAGGAGCAGGGGGAGGAGGGAGAGGGTGATGGAGGAGGATGGGGATGTGCGATGGGGAGGAAGAAGGGGGGGGATAATGGAGTCAGGGGAGGAGGAGGAGGAGGAGGAGGAGGAGGAGGAGGAGGAGGAGGAGGAGGAGGATGCGGAGGAGGATGCGGAGGAGGAGGAGGAGGGGGAGGAGGAGGAAGACCAGAGTAAACCAAAGACGCATCAACGATGTAGCAAAACATCCTTCCGTTCAAAGTCACTCCGCTCGGAAGTCCACACGAGCTTTCCATCTTGCTGCACGAAGCATAACACCTTGAAAGGCCAGCACCCGATGGGCCTACCATGTCGGCCGAGAGCCCCGTTTTTTGAGCAGGAATTGCCCTGCATCTCTCTGGCGGGTCCTCGGGGCCGCGAGAAGGTATGAACAAGCAGCCCAACGATATTCCCAGCGATGCGCAACGTTCTGGTCTTCGAGACCTGGGGAAGTCTCCAGCGATAGCCTCACTTGCTCTGTAACCGCTGCAGGACTTTTCGCCGTACGCGTGCGGCGCTGGGGGGGAAGTCCCATTTTGAAAAGGAGCCGTGCTGGTATGTAATCATAATGTCCGCGGTGCCAAGGCGAGAGCTCCATTTTGAAGTGGAACCACCTTCCGTCGTGTGGCTGTCGCAAGCGTTTAAGACGACTGCGCGCAGCGCTAAGCGAGATCAACGTTTTGGACATTACATGTTTCCTATCCGTGTAACTCTCGCAAGCTGTTAAGGCGAACGTGCGCGCTCTAAGACGATCGCCACACTTTGAGCACGACCTGTGCTTCACCACTTCATGACGAATGTGTGCGGCGCCCCTGCGAGAGCTACATTTTGACTCCCCCATCCGTGTAACCTGTTTAAGCTGTCAGGGCGAATACGCGCTGCGTTGCACATTTCAATCCCCCCTCAGGCGCAACGCCTGTCCCCTCCCCCTCCCATGCCGACACGTCTGGGGTTCGACAGGGAGGCGTTTCCTGGAAAGACATGCACGAGGATCGAGGAGGAGGATCGAGGATCGAACGACGATCGACGAGGACGATCGAGGAGGAGGATCGAGGATCGGGGAGGAGAGATGAAGATCGAGGATCGACGAGGAGGATCGGGATGGATCACGAGGAGGAACGAGGATCGAGGCTTTCTTGTTTTGTGCGGGTTCTCGGTGGGCCTCCTGAACTGCTCCAGGCGACCTTGGAGACGCGTTGGGGAATGTTCGGGGGCTGGCTGCCGCACGCCGGAGGAGGAACGAGGATGGAGAGGGAACAGAGAGGGAGAGGGATGCGCTCCCGCCATATCTGACATCCTACCCCTCTCTCCCATCCCTTCCCACTGTGTTTTTGTTCTACATCCGCCGACGCGTGTCACATCTGACGTACAACTCCAAAAGAGGACCTAATCGTGTTATGCGCAATCGGAGAAGAGGGGAGCTGCGCGCATTAGAGGGGGAGGTGGATGAGCAGGAGGATGAGCAAGAGGTCAGTGAGGTGGATGAGGAAGAAGGAGGACGAGGCTGAACAGCAGCAACAGGAGCTGGAGTGGAAGGAGCGGGAGGAGCAGGGGGAACAGGGGAAGGCGGAGGAGGGAAATTGAGAGGGGCGACACCGATGAGACAGGACTCGTATGCAGAACAGTGGTCCGCGCTGTGGCTAGAGCCCCATTCGGAATGACGGGAGGAAGGCACCGATCCAAGCAGGAGGCCCACGCTGCAGTGGGAGCTCCATTTTGAAGCCTTTAAGCAATCGACTTGACATGAAGACGCAAGACGAGCACACTGTTTTGAAACTTGGTGTTTGAAACTGTACAAGGAGAGGGCCGAATATGTTCCATACCGAATCAGGCCACAGAGGAGAGTAGTACACACCATGTGTGCAATTGTACGAGAAGGGGGGGGGGCAACGACGAGAAGAGGAGAATGGGGAAAGCAGGAATGGGGGTGGAGGAGGAGGCGGTGCAGGAAGAGGTAGAGGAGGAGGAGGAGGAGGAGGAGGAGGAGGAGGAGGAGGAGGAGGAGGAGGAGGAGGAGGAGGGGGAGGGGAGGATGAGCAAGAGGAAGAGGAGGAGGAGGAGGAGGAGGAGATGGAGGACGATGCGGAGGAGGAGGATGATGATGAGGAGGAGGAAGAAGAAGACCAGAGTAAACCAAATATGCATCAACGATGTTGCTATACATCCTTCCGTTCAAAGTCACTATTTCAACTCTTCCTGCGCCTCCTCTTCCTTTCCTCGCTTCTTCCTCAACCTCTCCTCCTCCTCCTTCTCCTCCTCCTCCTCATCATCTTGGACGACCTACTGGACGGGGCTAGGACGAGGATTAATCTGTTCCAGCTCGTTCCGTAACGCTCTCGGAGCGTTCCGGAGCGCTCCGAGAAGGCCGTGGCGCCCGAGACATCCTCCAGAGCCGACGGATCTCAGAGGTTGTGATCGTTTTCTTATTCATTGTTTCGCCGATCGGCGCGGGCCTTCTCCCCCCCCCCTGGAGTAGATAGTGGCTTTTTGGGGCGCCTGTTTCAAGCAGGCGGAGGGAGGCGGAGGCTCCCCCCGTAGGACGCACTGCTGCAGACAGCCGCACGCAGCAGACGTCCGGAGCCAGATCTCCCCCCTTCCACCCCCCTTCCGCCCACTGCCGAAACGCCGTGTAAGAAAGCGTCCACATGCTCGCCTGGCCCCCCAACCGATGCTGTCCTCGCCCCAGCTTCGCCTTCGCCTGGACGCCCCCGAGGCCCACCCTCGATCAATCGATCCCTGGACCCTCGATCCCCGCAGCCGCCGAGCGCCGCGCGCCTGCACGGTCGGCAGCCCGCGCCCGGCCGCCATGGGGAGCCTCGCCTCCTCCCTTTGCGGCGGCCGGCCGGGCGAGGCCGCTGGCGGCGGCGCCGTGCTGGCCGCGAGGGCGGCGGGGACCGGCGTGAATCGCGCGCGGTGGGCAACGGGGCCCCGCCTCGCCCTTCCGCTCCTCCTCCTGCTCCTCCTCCTCCTCCTCCTCCTCCTCCTGCTCCCCCTCCTCCCACTCCTCCTCCTCCCACTCCTCCTCCTACTCCTCCTCCTCCCTCTATCCTCCTCCTCCTCCATGTCCCTCACTCATACTTAATTCCTCCTCCTCCTTCTCCAAACTCCTCCTTCCTCTGCTCCTCCTCCTCCAGCTCCTCCTCCTGCTCCTCCCCTCCTCCCTCTCCTCCTCCTAATCCTCTCCTCATCACCAGCCACGCTGCGCGACTTGCGTAGAAGTGCACCGTTTGGGCGCGGCTCCGTCTGTCCGTCTCTAGTGACCTGTCCTCCCGTCTCTCCTCTTCTCTCCCCTCCCCCCCGGATCCCCATCCCTTCCAAGCCTCCAGCTCCTCCTGTTTCTCCTCCTCCTCCTCCTCTTCTCCTCCTCCTCCTCCTCCTCACCAGCCACGCCTTCGCGACTTGCGTACAAGTGCACCGTTTGGGCGCGGCTCCGTCTGTCCGTCTCTGGTGACCTGTCCTCCCGTCTCTTCGTCTTCACTTCCCTCCCCCGGATCCCCATCCCTTCCAAGCCTCCAGCTCCTCTTGCTCGTCCTGCTCCTCCTGCTCCTCCTCCTCCTCCTCCTCCTCCTCCTCCTCCTCCTCCTCCTCCTCCCACTCCTCCTCCTCCCCCTCCAACTTCTGGTGGTGGTGGTGGTGAAAAACAGGCCCATCAGCCATGGGGGAAGCGGGTCCCGAGGACAGCGGGGCCCTGAGATGTTTCGCCGCTCTCGGGCGCTCGGGGCGCTCCACGGGCCCCAGGAGCGTCGGAGAGCGGCCCCGGGTGCAGAGAGCGGGGCCCCCGGGGGAGGCCCCGGGGTCCCGGGCCCGTCGTTTCCCTGAGGGCCCGTGTCCCCCCTGCTGAGAGGGCATGGTGTCCTCGGAGGGGTGCAGACTGAGATAGGAGCTAGTGGTATAGTTTGACAAAGCCTCATGTGGGGCGTTGCAAACAAGGGCCTGGCCTTCGAGGATGCAAGGAGTTGTCATCTCTTCCGCGGTGGAAGGCGGCGGAAGATCGGCGGAAGTGAAACGAGGCCGCCTCCGCCGGTCAATGTCACCGCGTGCAAGCTTGAGCTGCATGTCGTGTTCAGGTGGCCAGCCTCTGAACTAGAGCACCGTAGCTGAATCACATCGGATCAAGCGAAGCGCGATCTCGGCGGTGGCGACTCAGCGGTTCTACGCTGTCAGGCATTGAAGAGTGAGGCACATCACATGTGTCGCGCGCAATACCAGCAACCCTTTAGCGCGCACTGCATCGACAAAGAACGTGCCACGTATTTGAGGTTGCTTGTGTCAGTCGGGGGTTGCAGGGTTCTTTGTCTGCTTGCTGCCCTTGCCTGGCCGAGGCCTCGACCCCTCCCTCGAGGCAGGCTTTTCATCCCGGATCGTCTTGGGACGGCCCGGGGCCCTGGGGACGGGCACTCGCCCCCGGAGGGCGAACCTTACCCAAATCCGTCCGTCGAGATGTCTGCTTCGGCACGAGGTGAGCGTTTTTGCGTTTCCTCTCCAGGGTAACGCTCGTTACCCGGGCCCCCCCCCCCTCTGCCCGGGTAACGTTAACGATCGTACTGAGGGGGGTGACCTGGACCCCCCCCCTTACATGCTGGGGGGCACTGTACCGGTGGCGCGGACGTGCCCTCGCGGGTGCACGCCGCGGCCGCCGTTACCGTGACCCTCCCTCCGGGACCCCCCCCTCCCCGGGTAACGATCGGGGGTGGACAGAACCCTCACCCTGACACGTCGATTAGTGCATTGTCCGTTTTTCGGTTCTCGAGAGGGCGCCGCGGCCGTCATTTTCCAGGCTTGCGCCCGCCAGGTTTGGGCCCGAGGTCGTTTTCGCCAGGCTACGTTTTTCGAAAGGGGGCTCTGCCCATCCCCGAAATGATTGTTACACGAGGAAGGAACAAGACGAACTGGCCACGAGGGGGTATGGGAAGGCTTCTCTGCCTGCTCGCTCCCAGCCCCTTTGGAGGGCGGCTCCCCTGCCTCAGGAAAAACACCCAGACCGGGCAATTGGCGTTTACTGGACGCCCCCTGGGCGTTTGCTAAACAGCCTTGCCCTGCTTGACTCCTTCTTTGGGTGCGCTTGCCCAGCGGCTTCGCGAGTCGGGGTGGTCATCATCGGGGTGGGTTGTCTGCCCTCCCCCGCAGCACCCCCCCCGCTGCCCCGGCCCGCCTCCCGAGGTGGGGCCGCCCGTCGCCGCGCTGAGGCTCGACGGGCGAAGCGGTGTGCACGAGGCAGAGTGTGTGTGTGCCGCCGCGGGCGGCTCGTGATCCCGACCTCGTCTTCGTCCGCGCGGCAGGGGGGAGGGGAAGGAGGAGGAAGAGGAGGAGGAGGAGGAGGAGGAGGAGGAGGAGGAGGAGGAGGAGTGGGAGCAGGAGGAGGAGGAGGAGGAGGAGGAGGAAAAAGGGAAGGAGGGAGGAGGGGAGGGAGGAGGGAGGGAGGAAGGGAGGGAGGGAGGGAGGGGGAGGAAGGGAAGGGAAGGGAAAGGAAGGGAGGGAGGAGGAGGAGGGGGTCTGTGGGGTGGGGGGGGGGCTTTTGCTCGGGGGCGGCTGCCGCCTCGACCTCCCAGATGCGCGAGCATCTCGAGGCCGAGGTGCTGCCGGACTTCCGAAGACCGCGTGCTCCCACGGAGTCTTCGCGGTGCCACCGACTGCGATGGATGTCTGGGTTCGGCTGTTGTTGGCCGTGTTCGGCCTCGGGGGGGCCTTCTCGGGCCGCCCAGAGGACGTTTTGCACACCACTGGGTGTGAACAGAAACGCTCCGAGGGGGAGGGCCCGAGACCTCTGGGGGGGAGGGGGGGGGGGCCCACGCTGCCAGCAGAGGCACAGCTGCGGAGGTCTGGGTCGGGCCTCCCCCCCGTGCCCCGCCAGGTGTCACTCGTAGGTCCGAGGGTGGGGATCGAGAACTGCCCAGGTGCTCTTGGGCGTGTCCTGACCTCCCGTCCGTGGGGCTCCTCGTGGCCACTGCTGCCTGCCTTCGCTCTCGAGCTTACAAGCCGGTCGTTGAAGGTAGGTATATTTTTGGATGCCGAGGTCCTAGTCTACTGCAGGCGCCTTCTACGTCAAGAGTCGAGCGGTGTTCCTTCTTTCCTCCTCTTCAGGGGGCGGGTGGAAGCCCAATCTACTTGAACGCCTTCCTACTTCATGTTTCAGCCCGCTTCTTCCGACCGGCGTGTGCGCACCCCAGGGGAGATCCAGGGAGGCGATGTTGAAACCTCGTGCCCAGGCCACTGGCGATTCGCAAGCACAAGAAAACACCGCATGCCCTTCTCGCAGTTTTCGGCGAGGCCGTCTCCAGAGGCCAGGGCAGTCAGAAGGCGGCCCTGGATGAAGGGCTTCCAGAGCTCCGGGGGGCAGGCGGCTCGAAAAAAGAGAGCCGTCCTGGGCCCTGGCACGGCGGAGGATGCTGTTCTGCACCACAGCTTTTGGCCCGTCGATCAGGAAGCCAGGGGAGTGCGTGTTCACTGAGGAGTGGAGTCCGGCCAAGCTGGGCGCTCGTGAAACCATCTCTCACGACACGATCTTGTTGACATTCGAGCTGCCAGACCCGAGCAAGCCGCTGGGTCTTTCCACGTGCGCCTGCATGCTGGCAAAATGCACCGTGGACTCTGAGGCGGTCATAAGGCCATACACGCCAGTCTCGACGAACGCTCTGGTAGGCAAGTTCCAGCTGCTGGTCAAAGTCTACAAGGACGGCAAGATGTCGCAGTACATGAATAGCATGCCCATCGGGGATTCGCTCGACTTCAAGCACATTGACAAGAACGTCAAGATCCAGTACCCGTTCGGCAGGAAAAAGCTGACGATGCTGGCCGGGGGCACTGGTATCACACCGATGATGCAAGCCCTGCATGCGATTTTGGGAACGCCAGGCGACACTACTGAAGTAACGCTGATATTTGGTAACAAGTTGCCCCAGGACATCATGTGTTTAGAGCTCATAGAGGACTGGGCATCGAGGAAGCCAGAGCGCCTGAAGGTCGTGCACATCCTTTCAGATGTCGGCGATCATCTCAGAGCCTGCTGATCGTTCGCGCGATCCCGATCGCCTCCTCCTCCGCCTCCTCCTCCTCCTCCTCCTCCTCCTCCTCCTCCTCCTCCTCCTCCTCCTCCTCCTCCTCCCCCTCCTGCTCCTCCTCGTTGCACTCCTTGCCCTCAGATCGCAGCGATGCTCGATCGGGCAATCGCCGAGCCAGGCGAGCGCGGGGGGGCCAGGCCGCATCACGGGGCGGGCTCGCTGCGCGTGCAGGTGCTGGCACCCTGCCGCGAGACGGGACTGCACGTCGGACGTGCTCCTTGAGAACCCCTTGCCGTTGCGGCTCAAGGTTCGTCGAGCCGCGGCTCAAGGTTGAGACCGCGGAGTCACCGGCGGCGTCGAGGCACGGCGTCGATATCAATCGATCGGCATCGGTGTCAAGGCGCTGCGCAGTGCAGCGGCGGACGTGCCTTGACTAGGTGCGTTGGTCGGCCAGCAAGCCATCCAGAGGATCCCGCAGCAGTTCGAGAGGGCGCGAGAGCAGCTGTATCAAGTTGAGGGCGCGCGCTCGAGCACGCAGCTGATGCGCGAACCCAGTGTGTCGCGGACAGGTCCCGTGTTGTGGTGTTTGTGCTGACGGCTTTGGCGCAGGCAAGGATCTCGCATGGCCAGACTGTCTGCGTGCCGCAGTCGCGTTGGATACAAGTTCTTCCCGCCGGCAATCAACTTTCCCACTAGCAGGCCACAGGGGCCCACTGGAGTCTTGGAGCACTCACCGGGAAGGGTGGACAAAGATGGACGGTAGTAGGCGCGCCCCTTATATGTCTTGCAGCAGACACTGCACGCCCCGACCGCCGCACGCGCACCGGCGGGGGGCGTCCGGGACAGGGGCCGCGTCGGGGAGACCCGTGCGATCCAGAGGTGGTCCAGGCCGGGGCAGATGCCGCGCTCATCACGTCAGCGGAGGCCCTGGTGCACACCCATGCCGCGTGCGAGGCGGAGTCGGCTTGGATTCAATGGTGGCGGCACAGCCTTGCGTTCCTGGGCTCGTCGAGAGGAAGAATTGTAGATGCCCTTCCAATGAGTACTTACCGCGAGTCGTAGCAGGATCTCACGAACAAGCTGAACGATCAAGAATACGTGCTGCTGGCAAGGAATGCTGACGATGTCGAGGTCGGCGAGCACTGATGGCCCTGAGCATGAGCTGAACCAGGACAAGTCTGAGACATTCGAGTTGAGGGGTCCCGAGGTCGATGCGGTCGACCCCAGCCTGATCTCGCGTGAGGAGTTCCAGGCCGAGGGCGAGTTTTTCGGGGGGACCGTCAGGGAAGCCGCCACAGGTGCCCAGAGTGTTGGCGCAGGCTCACTACGGGAAGGCGTGGCAAGAAGAACACAAGCTTCGGCACCTGCCATGGAGAGCCTTCTCGCGGCGCCAGGACGGCCCTCAGTGTAGCCACCGCTTCTGGGCCCAGGATGGGCCTGCGGTGCCGGTGAGCAGTGGCGTCCTCCGGTTCCGTGGGCCCGAGCCAGCGCGGGCGACGGAGAGGCGGCGTCCCCGTGCGCCTCGTCGTCCTCGGGCGCCTCGGGCGGTTGCGCGCACCCGCGTGCTCACGCGCGCGCACGCGTCAGTGCGCAGTCGGCGAGCGCGCGCGCGCGCGCGGCGCCAGCCTCGCTCTGCACCTCGAGCTCGCGGTGTTCCGCCCCAGGGTCCCGGGGGCTCCTCCTCCGCCCCAGCGGCCCAGCGGTGCGCGAGGGGGCCATTGCTGCTGTCGTGCTCGGAGGGGGTGGGGCCCGGCGCTGCGGCGCCAACCACCACTCCACCCCGCTCTTGGACGCTTCGACGTCATTGGGCCGCTCTCTCTTTCTCTTTTTGTTTCTCTGTCTCTTTCCCTCTCTCTCAGATGTCCTCCTCCTCCTCCTCCTCCTCCCCTGTACGCTGTCCTCCTCCTCCTCCTCCTCCTCCCCCTCCTCCTCTTCTTCCTCCAAAAACATGTTGGAACCCTCTCCCTCTCCTTCTTCTCCTCCCGCCAAAAAGGGGGAGTGGGGAGGACACCTCCTCC